GCCCACATTTCTTTTTGATTGCTAAGAACCTTTACCAGTGTAGTGTTTGTGTGTGTGTGTGTGCGTGCGTGCGTGTGTGCATGTGTGTGTGTGTGTGTGTGTGTGTGTGTGCACATTAGTAATATGAGAAAACATTACGTTGTCCCTGGACCTGTGGGGGAATCTGAGTGGATGGTAGAGATGCTCCTTCTCTCAGTGTGAATTTTTTGACTATAAGTTGAATCATACTTCTCCTTTAGTCTCAGTAGGTGCTCAGATCCTTTGATACCCTTTACTCAGTATGTGAATTAATGTAGAACTTAATTTCTAATAAACTAATGGAATACCTTTGGCAGGATTTTTTGAAGGTGAGCTTTTAATTTTTTTCTCAACAAAAACATTTTTTACTTGAAGCATACTTCAGAATATGTGGTTCTAAAAGATTGATATAAAACATTCCATCCAAGAAAAATAGAATACACATTTTCTTCAAGTATACGCAGAAGAAATCCCCTGGTTAAATCACATAAAAAGAGACATAACAAATATTATAAGTTTAAGAAGACTGAAAGCATACCAACTATAGTTTCCAACCACAGTGGTAAAAAACTGAAGATCAACAATAAAACAAAGGTGGAAAATCTACAGGGTAAATATTAAATATTTAATATGTAAATATCAACACACTATTGTACAAGCAATGGGCCAATAGGAAATCAAATGGCAAATCAAAATATGCCTCAAAACAAAAGAAAAGAAAACATAATATTCCAAAACTCATGGGATGCAGCAAAAGCAGATGTTAGAGTGAAATTTATGCTATAAATGCTTGTATTAAGAAAAAATTCGAATAACATTACACAAGGAGCTAGAAAAAAGAAACTTAGCTGAAAATTAGTAGAGGAGGGAAATAAAAACCAGAAATTTTAAGTAAAATAGAGACCAGACTACACAATAACAACACTGAAAGTAATGACTAGTTAAAAAAAAAAAAAAAACCCAAATTGGCAATGCTTTAATTACATTAAGTAAGAAGAAAAAGAGAGAAGACTCAAAAGCCAAAATGAGAAATAGAAAACAATACAGCAGTTAACCACAGAAACACATAGTATGATAACAGATTACTATATACAATTTTACACCAACAAATCAATTAACTTAGAAAAAAAACCCAGATAATTCCAAAAAAATGCACAGGTTACTAAGATTCGTCATGAATCTTAAATCCAAGAAGTAGGAAATCTTTTTAGACCAATAACAAGAATGAAAGTTGAATTAGGAATCAAGAATCTTCCAGCATAATCTTTATCAAAATCTTACAAACAATGGAATAGAGGGAACATATTCAGAATTATTCCATGAGACCCATACTATCCTGGTACCAAAGCAGGATAAAAACAATACAAGAACAGGGGCACCTGAGTAGCTCAGTCAGTTGGGTGTCCAACTCTTGATTTTGGCTCAGGAGATCCAGCTTTATGCTGGGCTCCACACTCAGCAGGGAGTCTACTTGAGGTTCTCTCTCTTCCTCTCCCTCTGCTCCTCCCCCTGCTTGTGCATGATCTCTCTCTAAAATAAATGAAATCTTAAAACACACACACACACACACACACACACACACACACACACACACACAGACACACAATACGGGCCCTTGGGTGGCTCAGTTGGTTAAGCGTCTGCTTTTGGCTTGGGTCATGATCCCAGGATCCTGGGATCAAGCCCTGCATCCGGCTCCCTGTTGAGTTTCTCCCTCTTCCTCTGCCTGCTGCTCCCCTTGCTTGTGCTTGCTCTCTTTCTCTCTCTTTCTCAAATAAATAAACAGAATCTTTGAAAAAAATTAAAAAAATATAAAGACAAAAAATAATACAAAAACAGAAAAGTCTAGTTTGTCCAATATAAGTTTTTGCTATTCTGGCTTTCTTTTAACACCCATTTGCTCATTAAATATTTCTCCACCCCCTCACAATTTGCAGGTGTCTTTAGGTCTAAATCTAGTCTCTTGTAGGCAGCATATAGATAGGTCTTGTTTTCTTATCCATTCTGACACCCTACGTTTCTTGATTTAGTTAGCATTTAGCAATTAGTTCATCTACGTTCAGAGTAATTATTTTTTTAAAAAAGATTTTATTTATTTATTTATTCATTTGTCAGAGAGAGAGAGAACGCACACACAAGCAGGCAGAGTGGCAGGCAGAGGTGGAGAGAGAAGCAGGCTCCCTGCCAAGCAAGGAGCCTGATGCGGGACTCAATCCCAGGACCCTGGGATCATGACCTGAGCTGAAGGCAGCGGCTTAACCGACTGAGCCACCAAGCGTCCCATACATTCAGAGTAATTATTGATAGATATGTATTTATTGCCATTTTATTACTTGTTTTGTCATTGTTTCTGGAGATTTTCTCTGATCCTTTCTTATCTTTATCACTTTTGATCTCTCCTTTCCACTCAAAAACTCCCCTTTAATATTTCTTGCAGGGCTAGTTAAGTGGTCATAAACTCCTTTGGTTTTGTTTGTTGGGGAGACTCTATCTCTCCTTTTATTTTGAATGATTGCCTTGCTGGATAGAGTGCTCTTAGCTGCAGATTTTTCTTATTCAGCGCTTTGAGTATATCATGCCACATTCTTCTGGCATGCCAAGTTTTTGTTGAGAAATCTGCAGCTACCTTTATGGGTTGTCCCTTGTGAGTTAAGGACTTATTTTTCTCTCGTTGCTTTCAAGATTTTTCCCTTATCACTGTATTTTGCAAATTTAATTACAATATGTCTTGGTGTTGGCCTGCTTTTGTTGATTTTAATAGGAGTTCTCTGTGCCTCCTGATCCAGATGTCTGTTTCCTTCTTCAGATTAGGAAAGTTTTCTGCTGTTATTTCTTGAAATAAATTTTCTGCCCCCTTCTCTTTCTGCTTCTTCTGGGACTCAGATATTAATTTATTATATTTGATGGAGTCACTGAGTTCCCTCAGTCTATTCTCAAGTTGCATAATTCTTTCTCTCTTTGTTCAGCTTTATTATTTTCCATTATTTGTCTTCTAGATCACTCATTCATTCCTCTGCCTTTTCCAGCCTACTATTCATTGCATCGTGCCTATTTACAGTCTTATTTATTGTGTTCTTCATCTCTCATTAATTCTTTTTTAACTCCTTTATCTCTGTTGTGAGGGATAGAATGTCTTTTATTCTTTTCTCAAACCTAGCAAGTATCATGATTGTTGCTTTAAATTCTCCTTCAGGCATGCTCTTTATATCTGTTTCACTTAGGTCTCTGGCTGTGGCTTTATCTTTTTCTTTCATTTGGGATAAATTCCTCCATCTTGGTATTTTGTCTTAAGTTCTTGCCTTCTTTTGTGTGTTAGAAAAGCCTGCTATGTCTCCTGCTCCTGAACGTAATGGCCTTATGAAGAAGAGGTCATGTAGTGCTCAGGGTCTGACATTTCAGGGAGGGTCTCCCATGTATGCTGTATACACTGTGCTGTTGTGTTTTGGCAGCTCTGTCCTTCAGGCCAGTCATCTGCAGAGGCTCTCCTTTGTTGTGGGCAATGTTTGGTTCCTGGCCTGACTGTGGCGAATTTTAACTAGGTGTGCTCTGATCTGCTTGTGAAATGACCCTGATATCAACTCCACCAGAACAGAGGCCCTGTAGAACTCTCTGTTTGGGACATGTGATGTGGGTAGGGGTTTCTGCTACCTGAGGGCCTGTCCCATGGGGACTGAAGCAAGCTTGACTGAGAAGGACAGTACCACCAGAGCATAGGTGTGTGGGACTTGGTGTAAGCAAGTTAGGCAGCCAGTGTCCACACTGCGCTGCTTCCCTCAAGATTTTATTTTTTAAGAGATAGGAAGCAGGTCTTATATATCTACTGTTCTCATTTGGGTAAGAGGATATTTGCATTTTAATTAATGCAACTTATTTTACATATAATAAATACTTCAAGTGGCACTTAGTATTTTTTTTTAAAGATTTATTTATTTGAGAGAGAGTATGTACATAGTAGGGAGGGGCAGAGGGAAAGGATGTTCAAGTGGGCTTCCCACTGAGTGTGGATCCCAATGTGGGGCTTGCTCTTACAACCCATGAGATTATGACTTGAGCCAAAACCAAGAGTGGCACACTTAACCAACTGACCTGTCCAGATGCCCTGCCACTTAGTAGTTTTTTTGAAAAGGTTTACCCTTCCAGTGTTTATGAAAGTAGCTTTTTAATTTTGTTTATCTAAGCAAAAAAATCAGCTTCTTCAGAAATCTCTTATTTGAACTTATTAACCAATGAATTAAATTTCTTTTGTCTTTGGCAGACAGTTTCTACTTTTAATAGATACAAATTGTAATGGAATTCTAGGCAGTGCTTCCCGTCGCCATCATGCCTACCCTTAGTGTGTCTGAATGGTCCTAGTTTACTCCAGGGATTTAAAAATGCATTCTCTTTTTTTTATTGTTGTTGAAGAATTACAGGGTATTCATGCAGGAAGGCTATGTAAGTTACTATTAAAAGGTGAGAAAGGTGCTGTTTTATTAGTCCATTTTGCAGCTGTTGAGGTGTGTTGGACATTTTAGTGAAAAGTAGGTAGATGGAGATCTAGATTTCCCCTGGCTGTGTAGATTTCTCCCATGCTTCCAGGTGTGTGGAGTGCCAGAGGCAAAATGGGAAACTAGGACTATTTAAAAATAAATTATAAAACAGAATTTTTGTAGTTACCCAATAATGGAAATGACACAGAACCCTTGGAGATTCCTACGCAGAGAATCTGAATTGCTACATCATGTAAATCATTCCTATAAAAAAGAGGTTTTCTTCTATTTTTCTGTTTCCTTTTGATATTAGACAGTTACTTGTTTCTTTATTTTCTGCTGAGTTTATTACCAAAATTCTAGATTGCTCATAGAAGTCATTTCATCCATCACTGAATTATTCTCCAAAACAGCTACTTCTTAAGTGGCATTTAAGGGTATTTTAATGCTAATAAGACAAGGATGTTTAGCACTGCTTTTCCTCAACCGTTCTTGGTTTCCTTTTATTTCTAGGATGTGGGGAGCATCTTGTGCGCACCATACTGGCTAGAGAATGTTCACACGCTTTACAAGCTGAAGATGCTCACCAAGCACTGTTGGAGACTATGCAAAACAAGTTTATCAGTAAGTATAACATGAGAAAATTATGTTCTTCTCAATATAGATTGATTCACTGAGCTGTAAACCAGTCAGATACTATATTTGTTCCACAGGGCCTAGCTCCAGGGCCTAGCATAGACTTAGACCCCCAATTAATATTAGTCATGAAAAGAATTATATGAGATAGCAACTAATACATGAAATTTGCCATAAAACTAATCTAATGCCCAAGTTGGGAGACACTATCTAGGATTATATATATATAGTAGATATATAGTAGATATATAGTAGCATAAAATTCTACTAAAACAATTGAATGGACAACATCCTTCGAAAGTTCTTTTATAATACACTTTGACTCTTCTTTTAGTCGGTGATATATAAATGAATCCAGTGCTGCCATGTACAGTTGTATAGGGCTGAGTTGAAATCCTGCCTGGGCTCCTTTTGCCAAGCTATGTAACCAGATGTGAGGCTACATCAGTTTGGAGGAAGGGGTGCCTTTTTCTAACCTGTAGAAAGATTTTATATAGCCTCACAGTGATCCTATCCATAACTGTTACATAGGATTAAAACTATTTGACTTAGTCTGCTTTTCCCATCATGTAACATTGAACTTACCACTATGCGAAGAGTAGTAAAGTTGTGTAAGACAAATATAGTTGAAAATAAGTTAGGGTAATAGCCATGAATAAATTAGAGAAGCATATTATAGCGTTAATCTGGGAGATTGTATCTCTAGTTGGAGGATTAAGACAGGGTATAATGAGATGCTAATTATGTGATGAGGACAATGCAGACAAAAGCATAGGAAGAAATTGTTTCCAAAAGAATTCTTGGATGGGGCCTCTTAGAACTGGCCCCAGAAGGCTTTGGGATAAGTGGTAAAAGAGGGAGAAGAGAGGAGCATAAACACAGACATGACAGTAGGATGTGGTATCAGGAGGGCTAGGCACCTATATGACTCTTACCTGGCATGAAGTATTCCTTATGTGCAGTGGGGCTGGTGAGGCCAGGTCACAGAGGTCCTTAAAATCTCAACATAGGAGTTCATATTTGATCTGACAGGAAGGAGAGAACCCTTATATGTTTCTAAGTTGACAAATGATATTTTGGGGGAGGGTTTATAAAATAGATGTAAGGTTGTACAAGACCACCTCTATAGGAAAGAGACATGAAGGGCTGGGAATGGTCCAAGGGATAGAGAAGAAATGGAGAAAGTGGAAATATTGGTAGACTCAGATTTTGAGACTAGGTAGATGTAGCCCTCTGGGTCCAATTAGGAGATAGAAAGTATATGTTGGGGATGCCTAGGTGGCTCAGTTGCTTAAGTGTCTGCCTTCGGCTCAGGTCATGATCCCAGGGTTCTGGGATAGAGTCCTGCATCGGGCTCCTTGCTCAGCAGGGAGCCTGCTTATCCCTCTGCCTGCTGCTCCCTCTGTTTGTGTGCTCTTTCTCTCTCTGACAAATAAATAAAATCTTAAAAAACAAACTATACATTAGGTTAATCAGGGGAAGTTTAACATAAAGAATTGTCAACTATGTGGAAAGAATACCTGTAAGATATAAAGAAACTTTAGGTGATACTCTAGAGCTGAGAGAGTGTCCAAGTAAGGACATACTTGGAAGGGGCACAGACCTTGATGAAGAAGGTATGGTTTGGCCACCAGGTAGCGGAGAAGTTCACCAGTTTGGCGAGGCTAGGACTGATCTGGAGTTGCTGCGCAGACTGTAGGCTACTCTTGAGTGCAGACAGGGAGCAGATGATTAGTACATAGGGGCTGGGTGTGGGAGCCTGGCAGTGGTGGGGGCAGAAGACACAGAGGACTTTAGAGCCCACAGGTCACAGAGAGCTTGTAGAGGGACTGACTGCTTCGTGTTTGACTCTCTGGGCAGCAGGAGCTACATGCAGGGTGTGTGGGGCCTTGCCAAGGGAGTCCTGTGCAGCTGCAGGGGATGTATTGCCAGGCCCAGACTTAGGCTTCAGAGTCACAGAGGGACTGTGTTCTGGGCCTGTGGCTGGGGCAGACTTCACCAGAGGTCCACACCCATACTGTCTCCCCTTCCCAGCCCATGCTGGAAATCGCAGGAAAGGTGCTTTTTTAAGTGTTTATCTTAGTTTAGTGCCTGACTTCTTGCCTTCATTTTGCTAGTTCCTTCCATGTAAGCCTAGTCTCTTTATACATGGCACTTTATATTTGTTTGCCACTTTTCCTTCTCTGCTAGGTGGGAGTGGGATTCAAGGAAGCTTCTTTGTCATTATCGCGGGGGACCATCTGGTACGTGGTCCCCCTCCTACTGTTGGCTTCTCCTGAAATGGGACTTGTCTTCACCTCCTTATGAGTTACTGGCTTCTACTACTGCTGAATTCACTATGGTGTCCATGGTCTTGTTGTTGCCTATGGTTTCGTTAGTACACATAGCATCCACTGACAGTAGATGCTAGTGGTAGTAGAATCACTGAAACTTCTGGAATAATCAGTGAGAATGTCAAGTCCTCATTGCCCAAGTATATCAGGCTAGTTTTTCTGCTTTACTTTTAGAGCATCTTACTGTCCTGAGTGTGGAATGGGAATGGGGAACTTCCCTACCTAGCTTTCTGTGTCTTGAGGCCTATTCTTGGATCCTCCAGATCCTCCAGATCTAGCTCAGTTTTTTTACTTGTCTCCTTTTTTCCCCTCTACCCTCACCAGCTTGGAAAAAGGGACAGAAACCTATGCTAGTGATCAGTTCTTTCCTCCTTGGTTTTCCCACCAGTGCCAATGTGTTCAGTGACACCCTAGCCCCAGTCCTACCTTTAGGGTACTCGTAGGGAGCTCTAAACCATTTATCCTGCCCAAATTTAGGATTTACCTACTCAAAACATATTTTATCCCAAAGGTGTCTCTACTTAGAATTTATGAAAATCCACTTAGAAGCTTAAAGGATAAAACATATCAACTAGATAAGCATACAACTGATGAGATCAATGGAAGATTCTGGGGATGGAGATAAGACTATATTTCATTATTGTTCAGGCCTTTAGTAAGTATTATGCCCTATCAGTAAATATTTTTAGGGCAAAGAGAGAAAGAAAAACAGATGATGGGTGGGAAAGAATTGGGTATATTTGAAGGAAGAACAGAGTGAATAACTGTAGGTAAGGAATTCAATATGAAGAGATTTAGTAGAGGTGCTTTCTTACAGTTATTTGAACTGAGGTTATGAAGACATAAGTAATGGTATTAATTATATGCCTGCTAGCAAGAATTGCCTAATAGCAAAATGTGAGCTGAGGAATGAGTTAGAAACAGGCCTTTGAGGTCTGCCTCTCATGATTTTTCAGAAATAGGTTGATTACATTCGTGTTACTATATCCTTAAATATGTCAGAATCAGACTTAGGTATTAATGTTTAGGTCTTTTAACAATTACCAACTATTGAATGCTGTTTTAAAGGAAACCAAACTGTTGGTCCTAATAGCATGTATAATTTATATAATTTGTTATTAGTCGTCCAGCTATATTAGGTGCATTCCCAGAACATTAGTGGGAAGGAATAGTAAGAGGTGAAAACAAGATGTCAAACTTCCTGGGAACCTGTGGTAGGTGTGGAATTATGGCACATGGCAACATTCTGAAGGACTTTACTGAATCTAAAACCACAGGTTCCCAGCTAGTTCTACTTTTCCAGATTTGGGTCCATGCCAAGGAGTTCCTGAACTCCATTCTATTCTCTGCTGGTTGTCTACGTTCTCCTCCTCTATAGCTCTTTGAAGCTACTCAAAGAGTTGGACTGCAGTATTTCATTTTGCCACTGGGATCCCGTGATTTAATGGTGCATTTGAATCCTGTCTTAAAAATTCCAGAATCATGGATATAAGTAAGAAACTTCAGAGCTCACCTGATTGACCCCTGTTTATTTAATATTTGAAGAAACTTAGTTTTGAAGTTTAATGACTTGCCCAATGTCACCCAGTTAGTATGTATTCTTTCATCATGATCTTTCATCATCATAGTGACTTTTTTTCCCCATTTTATTTTATTTCTTTTCATTGTTCCAAAATTCATTGTCTATGTACCACACCCAGTACTCCATGCAATACGTGCCCTCCACTATACCCACCACCAGACTCACCCAACCTCCTCCCCTCCTTCCCTCCAAAACCCTCAGTTTGTTTCTCAGAGTCCACAGTCTCTCATGGTTTGTCTCCCCTTCTGATTTCCCCCAAGAGGGGGCTACTCTCCTGGGGGTTAGCAAAGTTGGGTTCCACTCTGGACTGTGTCTGACTCATTGGATGTAGCAAGTTACTTAAGTTTTCTTCCTTTTCTTCCTTCCTTC